TATGCTAGAATGTCATAATCCCAATGCTCGTAAACAGCCAGAAAAATAACACACTTGCCGACAAACACGGTAGCAAAATGAACGACTTTTTCTCTTCATTCGTCGACACGTGACTGACTTATTTCTTCTTTTAACTTTGGATATTCCGTTTTCGGTAAGTAATTTTCTTTTTCGCCACAAAACAAGTAAACCCATCTCTTTCTTCAATATTCGTGGTATTCGTACCAATTTCCGCAGTGTGAAATTATTCATCTTCGAAAAATATCCAGATATCCGAGCTCTCTGTGAAACTAATCTTAACTCTTCAATTCCCTCTTCTGAATTCTCGATTCCTGGCTATCTTCCTCCTTTAAGGAAAGACTCTGGTTTCTACTTGCATGGCCTGGGAGATTGTGTCCGGGAACATTTCCCCGCTGGCCATGAATCTTCAGACCATTCTTACATGTGTCTATGTGTTTCTCTACTAAACTCAGCTGTATCTTCTTACGATAGCAAAATAAACGACTCTTTCTCCCCAATTTGAGAACACCAACTGCTTTTATCGACGGGCCATTTTTTTCCGTTAGTCGATAGGTGGGAAAGGACGCACAACATTAGCGTGTCTAAGATACTTTTATGGCGACTCCTGGGACTGACTTAGTTCTTCTTTTAACTTTGGATATTCCGTCTTCGGCATATCATGCAGAATACGCGCTCTTTTTTTCTCGGTAAGTAATTTTCTTTTTCGCCACATCGTTGTCGTAGAATACACGCGACACGTTGTCGCTTGGTTTGACGAGGTAATTCATTTTTTTCGCTACAGAGTTAAAGAAGTGACCAAGAAGAGAAGCGTGTCCATTAAGATTACTGGGAAAACGCGCGAGGGAGTTCACCACTTGCATGAGTTGGAGTGGTTGAGAAGTGTGGATGCCAGCGAGGTCAGTGACAGAGTGATTAAGCCATTTTGCATGGTGGACATTGAAGTCACTGAACACAAAGATATTTGCAAACGGGTCAAGAGAGATGGCTTTATCTATATTATCAGAAATACTATCTAGCCCGCAACAGTCACGAGTTGAAGGGAAAAGGTAGAAGATTGAATTTATTAGAGAAAGACATAGGCACATGTAAGAATGGTCTGGAGATTCAAGAGAGATTGCCCTGGCCAGCGGGAAATGTTCCCGGATATAAACTCCTAGGCCATGCAAGTGGAAACCAGAGTCCTTCCTTAAAGGAGGGAGATAGCCGAGAATCGAATATTCAGAAGAGGGAATTAAAGAGTTAAGATTAGTTTCACAGAGAGCTCGGATGTCTGGAGATTGGTCGAAGAGGGTGATTCCACACTGCAGAAATTGCTACGAATATCACGAATATTGAGGAAGGAAATGAGTTTAGTTTTTTTCTGTCGAGCTAGTTCAGTTTTGACATTGCTCGGACTATCATTCTCATCTTTGTTGCCATATTTATCACAACGTTTCGGCCGTTGTACGCTCCAGCCTTCTTCAGGTGGTTGGAATATCTGAAACAGACCTAGTTCCACGTGCCATGTCTAATGGATGTCAGTTATCAGTTATCTCCTGTTAATTCCCCCCTCCAAGTTCTCCACCGCTTTATCTAGGTATTGAACTCACCTAATTTGGGTCCTGTCACTGGATCTAACTAACGCCTTTATTCACTGTGCCATGTGTCCTAATCACCTGAAGAAGGCCGGAGCGTACAACGGCCGAAACGTTGTGATAAATATGGCAACAAATATGAGGATGATAGCCCGAGCAATGTAAATGGTGTACATAATAGCTCTTTTCGGAAATATTGACAGATACTGAAGAAGTGCGGAGCATACAACGATCGAAACGTTGTGATAAATATGGCAACACATATGAGGATGATAGCTTGAGCAATGTAAATGGTATACATAATAGCTCTTCTCAGAAATATTGACAGATACTGAAGTGCGTAGCGTACAACGGCCGAAACATTGTGATAAATATGGCAATAAATATGAGGATGATAGCCTGAGCAATGTAAATGGTGTATATAATAGCTCTTCTCAGAAATATTGACAGATACTGAAGAAGTGCATAGCGTACAACGGTCGAAACGTTGTGATAAATATGGCAACAAATATGAGGATGATAGCCGGAGCAATGTAAATAGTGTACATAATACTCAGAAATATAGACAGATAATTCAGTTTCATTTCGTTTGTTATTTGAGTTAGGAAAAGGCTGAGAATTGTAGTAGCATAAGGCCGTGTAATGTAACATGTATGGACAGGGAATTTGCGCGGACTGCATCATAGTGTGGCCACGGGCTTGCGCTCTGGGGTTGCTTGCAGGAACACCCTTCCATGTGCGACATGTCACCGGAATAACGCTGATATCATGCGACTGTTTTTCCGAGAAGCCTCTCTAGACGCCACGCAAGACATCGGGCTCCTAACTACCAGATGGGAAGCAGCAACTAAAAAAAATGCCAAATTGATACCCTCGAAAAGAAGAGACGTAGCCAGAATACACACATATCACCCCAAAAAAATATGATAGCACCAAGTCCTCAGAAAATGAATCTAGAACAACTTCCTAGGCAGAAAACAAGGGATAAACCTCTACTCCTGTTCAAGAGAATGGGCTGGAGTTTGGACCGAGCGATAGAAAGCACCTGTACTATTAACTATATCCTATTCGTTCGGTTGCATCAGGTGCGTTTGACGGAGCCCCTGTACATGTAACGGCATTCACCCGGGGTGGGTTGAGCCGGCTCCAATATTGAAGTTTCATGGGAATTTGAAATTCACAAGCGGTCCCCAACCCGCATGTATAGCACATGAGATTTGATTACAGTGGTGAAGGTTTCGTGCAGGACCATCCACACTTTTTTTTTGAAGGGCCGATTACAGAGACCTGGTGCACTACACAAGGTCCCCAAAAGACCGTCCGCAGGTTTTGAATTCAGAGTTTTCCTTCTCCTAGACCAGTTGCCATCCAAGGCTATAGAACCCAGTCTGTCCTGCTATTTACCCATAGCTGGAGGGTGAAGAAGAGGATTCACACCTTTCCCAAGGGTATTAGCATGGAAGTGAATGTAATGGATTCGAGTGGAATTCGAACTCGGCTCTCCGATTCCTCAATCCAAGCCGCTATCTATTACTCTACCGTGCCTTCTTGCTCCACTCTGCCTCCTTTTGACGGAGCCGAATTCGGATAAATACGTCTGCTACGTTTGATTAGCTTTCGTTCGGATACGAGTTGTTCGTTTAACGGAGTCGTGTCTGAACAAATACGTCCTCTGCTGCGCTTTGGTCAGCTTTCGTTTGGACCCGGAGTTTCTGTTTGTCCTAACAGGCTCCACCGAACATTTCATGCCGTAAAACCTACAGGTCATTTATATAGCTGTGGAGAATTATCTCGGAGATCCAAGGCAGCTAGAGTAGCGTAGCCTATATCTGCAAGGATATTGCTAGCGAGGCAGACCGTCCGAGCATCGGCGTGGGGATGACGATGCGCATGCGTCAGTGAGTCAGATCGAGGCTGACAGGAATGTATAAAAAAAAAGGCGAGTTCTTATTGAGTCAGCAGAACGAACTTGGGTGTTCAGCGTAGTTCACGTCAATGCGGGCTAAACCAGAATTCGTTTGCGAAGGTGTTTCCAATGTCTGTGCTACAGGTTTCTTGAAACAATGGCAGAAGATAATTATTAAAAAATAAAAGCGGAATGGTTGTGTATATTTAAGCATTGCTTGGAAAGCCTAAATTAAGTGGACACCCAGAGAGAATCGACTCATTACTCAGTCGTAATTGTTCTAGCGCATGTCGAAAAATTCTTCGACTCAAGGGTAATCAATGTCGGCCCTGCAGTAATTGCCTCGTGTCCCAAATTTAAACAGGGATCAAATAACAGGGAGAAGAGCGCACAAAACAACTTTATTTTGCGTAATGTCCTTCTCAAAAAATAAAGAAAGATACTGAAAGGAAGAGAAGATAGACATTAAATAACAAAGAACAGACCAGCGCATCCCACCCTTCCTGTACGAAAGACCAGAAAATCAGTGCCCTGGTGGAGCCTCGCTTTGATAAACTAGAATCCGTCAACCAACGTCCGACGACCGCCCCATAAGCAAAAAAAAAAAACAACTTATTTTTCTACACGCAACAAGGTTGCAAACCATTACACTACGTCGAAGCGCCAAACATGAGCTGTGTATCAAGTATACGTTTGTTGATATATATCGATCTATTACTACCCTTATCCTCCTAATTGTTCACTGTGTGTCGCAAGCTAGACTTGTTTACCGTTACTGACATAAAGAATTCAACTCACTAGACAAGTCTTTCTCTACGTTTTTTTTTCAACTTCTGGGCGCATTTATAGAATAACAAAAACTATTACTACCCTTATCCTCCTAATTGTTCACTGTGTGTCGCAAGCTAGACTTATTTAGCGTTATTGGCATAAAGAATTCAACTCACTAGACTAGTCTTTCTCCACGTTTTTTTTTTTTTTTTTTAACTTCTGGGCGCATTTATAGAATAACAAAAACTCTGGGTCGGTCTTTAAATTTTAATAAGAAAAAATTAATCAGAAATTTTGAAAATAGGAAAATAATAGAAAAGTTTCCTGAAATAAAAATTTATTTTTAAGACATTATTTTTTTAGGCTTGATGTGCTTTGGCGAAGAAAATTACCTTTAATAGTTTTCATTTTTGGTTTTGCACTTTCAAAGCGGATTAACGGTACTGTATTTAAATGGATTCATCAATGACCTGTTACTATTTTTAAGAGGCCGATAATGACTTCTTAAAATTTAATCATCCAGATTAAAATATCTAATGACAAAGACGTACCTTAGACACAGATGTCAGGTTCTCGGTATCGCTAGCTTTTTAAAAATAAAAAAAAATTAACTATAAAAATAATTCCTAAATTACTCTTTTGTTAACTTGGGGCGCACCTGGCTACTTTTTCAGGGCGCATCAGTACGCCCAGTCGTAACGGTAGAGAAACGCAGCACTAAGTTAAAGTACAATTTCTTTCTTTCTTTCTTTCTTTCTTTCTTTCTTTCTTCATATCTATCTATCTATCTATCTATCTATATATATATATATATATATGTGTGTGTGTGTGTGTGTGCATTTTTCTTTTATCTATCTTTCTCTCTTTTTCTGTCTGTCTGTCTATCTATCTATATTTCTTTCTTTGATCGATCTTTCTCTCTTTTTTTATCTATCTATCTATCTATCTTTCTTTCTTTCTTTCTTTCTTCCTTCCTTCCTTCTATCTATCTATATTTATTTATTTCTTTTATCTATCTTTCTCTCTTTTTCTGTCTGTCTGTCTATCTATCTATCTATATTTCTTTCTTTGATCGATCTTTCTCTCTTTCTTATCTATCTATCTATCTATCTATCATTAATTTATCTATCCTTCTTTCTTTCATTCTTCTATCCTATATTTCATTCTTTTTTCTATCTATCTATCTATCTATCTATCTATCTATCTATCTTTCTTTCTTTCTTTATCTATCTATCTATCTATCTATCTATCTATCTATCTATCTATATCTCTAATACATCTACTCTCTTTTCAGATAAGTACGAAAAGAAATCAGTCATACAGATTTCTCTATCACCTAAAAGGCCCCTAATATTGCAAATACAATCATCATCATCATCTTGCGGCCGAGATTGAACTGTTATCGTACAAAAATTCCTCGCAAAAAAATCACGTAAAAAAATCACCTAAAACAATCGCAGTAATGAAAAGTTGGGAATCCAAAATTTCAGGATTGAGGGGTCTGGATCCGACCCGGAGTGTTTTTAATTTGCTCACGGTGTCAGCCTGATTCCAAAATGGAATAACATGTGATGCTACGGCCTCCAGGAGTGAAGATGAAAGAAATGTGACACACTGACATCCGCATATATATATATATGGAATCATCATCATCTTGTAGCCTCAGCCGAGATTGAACTCACTACACCTCTCCATTATTCCCTATCTGTCATAGCACCTAAAAGATCTTCCTTAGGGATCAATGTGTCTCGTTTTATCCTATCTGGAAAGGTTAACTTGCGTGATCGATTGACAGATGGTGGGTGCCTCCAGAGTTCAAAGGATGACACAAGTTCATCTGTGGCACGTGCACAATGCCCGGCGAACTGGACACGTTTCTTACAAACTAAACTTGATACTCTTGGCAAGTCTCCATATATCATTTCTAGAGTTGGGTGGTTTCGCCATGAGAGATTAAGCACTTTTCTTAAAAGACGTGTACAAATACAATAGATGAATGCAACTATGGACAAATACTCCTTAAATTATTCAAAAATTGAAAAGTACTACTTAATCATAATTGCAACAAATACATATGCTTGTTAGCAAAAGGGACAACGCAACATTAAAATTACAGTTTGGACATGCCAAAATGAAACAGTTGCGGCAGGTAATTCTGATGGCTCATTGGAATTGCGAAAGATGCCTTCCAGAACCTGAGCAAAGTAGTATGAAACAGAAAAATATCGTTAAAAAACAAAGAAAAGAGTTCTGAACTGTCACGTAATATCAGGCCACCTATATGGCAGTTAATACTGGACATCCCCCTCAAAAAGGAACAAAAGGCACTTGAACCAGCATAAATGTGGTTCTACAGAAGGTTGCTGAGAATACCATGGACCGTACATATGAGCAAAGTCGAAAGTTCTAGAGACAGTTTTAACTAAAAAGGTACTTATACTTAACATCTGGAAGAGACAGGTGAAACTTTGGAGGCATATTATGAGGAAAGAAAGCTTGGAAAATTTGATATCCACAGCGCAAATTGAAGGTAAGCCGGCCAGAGGAAAGCAACACACAGCCTACCCGGCGATATTGAATGAATGGATTGTTGGGCAGGGTTTGGGAGAGATTGCAAATAGACATTTATTAAGGGCTATAAATGAGAGGAAATGGTAGAGAGCCATGATCACAGCATATAGAAGAAGAATCTTTACAGATGAAAATAACGCATAACGAGTAAATTGATAGCAGAAGAGAGAGTAGGGGAGATAACAAAAACACAAAATTTGTTAAGAGCTACAAAGCACAGGACATTGTGGAGAGGCATGAACACCAACGTCCTGAATGGACGCGGCACATAGCCGAAGAAGAAGTATCGTTACAGATGAAAATAACGCATAACCAGTAAATGAATGGCAGAACAGGGTTACAAACAAAAAGACAAAATTTACTAAGAGTTACAAAGGACAGGAAACTGTGGAGAGCCATTATCGCCAATTTCCTGAAGAGATACGCTCCATAGAAGAAGAAGAAGAATGAACACGTGTAAATGGATGACAGGTCAGGGTCTATGAGAGATAATAAAAAGAGAAAATTTAGTAAAAGCTACAAAGGACAGGAAACTGTGGAGGGCCATGATCGCCTAGGTCCTGAAGAGATACGCTCCTTAGAAGAAGAAGAATGAGCTTGTTAAATGGAAGGCAGGTCAGGGTTTAGGAGAGATAACAAAAAGACAAAATTTAATGAGAGCTACAAAGGACAGGAAACTGTGGAGAGCCATAATCGCCAACGTCCTGAAAGGACACAGAACATAGAAAAAGTAGAAGATTCGTTACAGATAAAAACAACGCATAGCGAGTAAATTGATAGCAGAACAAGAATTAGGAGTGATTACAAGAAGACAAAATTTTAAATGTTCTAGAAATGAGAGGAAATGGTGGAGAGCCATGATTACCAACGTCCTGACGGGACAAGACACCTAGAAGAAGAAGAATTGTTACAGACGAAAATAACACATAATGAGTAATTTGATAGCAGAACAGGGTTTAGGAGAGATAACAAAAAGACAAAATTTGTTAAGAGCTACAAAAGACAGGAAATTGTGGAGAGTCATGATCGCCAACGTTCTGAATGGACTCGACATATAGAAGAAGAACTATTACAGATGAAAACAACGCATAAGGAGTCAATGGATAGGAGAACAGGGTTTAGGAGAGATAATGTTATGGAGTGGTTTCACACTGGAGGCTTGTATTTGTACTAAGTCGGTCCTAAAATAGGTTCGACGTACAAAACGTTAGGAACTTGATATAATAGGTAATGACGCAGAGAAATATAGTCACTGATACTTTAGTATCCGACTAACGGTCGTCCGGCATCGACTGACTGACCCACTGAGCGACGGTATTTAGTCCTCCACGTGGCATCATGTGGCACAAGGTCAGTTTAACGTGGGATCTCCGAGCCCGTGGGCTTGGCCAAAAATATGTCCTTTTAAAACCCGTATAAACGGGTTCAGGGTTGGTTTACCTCCCCGAAAGAGACTCCGCCCTTCGGCGTAGTCTCGGTCAGGTTCCTCCCCGCTTGAAGGCAGAGAGTTCAACCGGTCAGATGGTCGTCTGACTTCAGACGGAACTCAAACCGACCCACTGAGCGAGGGTATTTAGTCACCCCCCCCACGAAGGCAGAGAGTTCAACCGATCAGCCGGTCAGCCTGACTGACCGACTCACTCGTTACTCTTACTACTCCTACTTATTATAGGTGGGAGAGTCTATTAACTATAGAATAGGTGTGTTCCACTATAACATATAACAAAAAGACAAAGGAAGAAGAAACAATTCAAAATAATTCGATACCATTTTGAGATTGATTTTTGGAAATCAGTCACGTAGAATAGCACATTTAAGCGAAATCCTTCCTGTCGTAGATTCTCGAAATCTCACAGAAGTTTCTATCTAAACGTAAACAAAGCAATTTCTATAGACGTATATAAGGTACTATACAGCCTTGTTTGATCGGCAAAGGTTTCATGGCTGAACCTGTTACAGTTTTTTGTGTATATGTGTGTGTAACTAGTGAGTTAGTCAAAATGACTTAATTCCCTTTACAGTCTACCAATAGAAGATTAACCAATCAGAAGCCGCAGAACATTGTATCCGTCGTGTATAAAGGCGGCCATTTTTGTTAACTACCGGAATGACCAGTGCCAACTTGTCAGGCGAAGATGACAGAAGGAAGTACTACGCTCTGCTACTTTGCTGCGATATCCACTGCGAACCTGAACTACATTTCCTACTGTCTCCCAAATATTCACTGCCAACCTCTGGATTCTATACTCGAAGAGGACCGTCATGAATTTGTAACAGAACCTGTCTAAAGCACGTCATATCTCGGCACAAGGGGACCCAATTTTTAATCCTAAAGGAGAGGGTCTATTTTTTCTTAATAAGATTTTTCGAATATTCATGCCAGTAGATGTAAATAAATGTACTGTTTGATAAATAAACAGAGGCGTCTACTAAAATATGAGTATCTTCAAGCATAACGGTTAAAGTGTTAGAAACGTAATTCAACGTTTGATAGCTACATGTTTCCGTAAAATATTTACATAGTTTTTTTCTCTTCTTGAGCTCTTGGTATAAATTACAACATCCCTGTCCTGACGATTAACTCCCAGATATTTTCTCTTTTTTCAGCGTTGCGTAATATACACTAATTACCTTGGATCTCATTTCGAGCTATTATTAAAATCGCATTGATTTCACTTATCCGTTTTCAAGTTGCGCTTTAAGAAATTCGCCGTGGAACGCCAGTTCAAGGAAGGTTATTGGTCGAGCGAACATACTTTCTTTTCAGAAGAATCATTCCAATAACCCAGATAGAGATATTTAACATTTTAGAAAAATCTCTTGTAACCGAAAACTTAAATAAGTTTCTTAACGGAGCCATTCGGTTGTGTAGTGCATATCTTATTTGTGTCAGGCTCGTTAATTGAATGGGAAGTCGTTAAGAACGGCTGCAAACATTTCTCACCATTGTGAGGTATTGCTGGAAGTTTGTAAAAGTTTCTCTGCAGGTACGGAAACATCGAGACATGCATTTCTTCCTCAATGCGTTACCATAGCTATTTATGATGAAATATATTCTGTATTGTATGGTGGAAAATATCTATTTCCATGGAAATTTTTTTTATTTTTATCAAAGTCATCTTCCTTTCAAATTTTCAAATAAATATATTAGTCGGACAAAAATGAAATAAATATTTTGCAAGCATCCAAATACTACATGTGATATTTATAGAAAGAGGCTGAAAACTTTACCTGAGAACATTTCTATTAATACATATAAGCGTATAGGAATGAAATGATTGACAATTTTTTCAATGAACTGAAACAGCCATTAAACACGTCTTTCTTTCTTTCTTCTTTCTTTCTTTCTTTCTTTCTTTCCTTTTACTTTCTTTTCTCTTTCTTTCACTGAAACCAAGTAGCGTCTCCGATATGTCACTTTTTTCACGTGGTGCCAAACGGAATAGTCCATTATTCATGAGGAATTGACAAGGCGTATGGGTTATGCGTACTAACTAGAGAGGAACACGCACAATTGTAATAGATAAACTTTAATATAAAATATTTATGCAACAATATATATATATATATATATATATATATATATATATATATATATATAAACCTAGAGAGCCAGACAAACGTACCTAGGTTTCACCTAAACTTATCGTCAGTGAAAGTCGGCTTTCCCTGACGATCCGTTTAAGTGAAACCTAGGTAGGTT